TGGACTAAGATGACCTTCTTCACACCCTGCTAAACATCTAGGTCCCATTCTTTGGAGGACTGGATGTCAGCTAGTTATCATGTATTCCCTCCTAAGGTGGCAACCTGCACATCAATGGGAAGTGCTTGGAGGCTGCAAAGGGAAGGATCATTGATAGCTTATTGTGTGCTGGGCTTCATTTATCCTCACATAACCATTTCCTTGTGTGAGGAAAACACAACCCTGGAAGGATACATTTTGTCCTTCATTTTGCTGATGAGAAACTGAGATTACACAACTGGCCCATGTCGCTGTTGGCTTTCTGAAGTCAAAAGTCTGCCTTACAAGTATCTTCAGCCTCAAAACTTGAAAGGAGCACAATTCTAATGGTGAATGAACAAGGCCCATGATGGGAGGAATATGTTGCTGTTTTTAACGGGGGTAGAGGTGGAAGAGGGTGATGAGAGTGATGGTGAGAAGAAAAGATCTATGTGGCAAGATCGTTCAGTTACAGTATCACCGAAATATAGAGCTAGCGAGGATCACAGAGAGTACCTGCATCAACTCCTTTCATTTTGTGGAAGTGGAACATTAAGGTCCAAAGTGGATGACTTCTATTCATTTATAGCTAAAGGATTTACAAAAAAAGTAACATTCTTGATTATATTTATAGGTGCCAAGTTTTCTAATGATTTTCTTTGGGATGGGAGACGAGATGACCAATTTTTCACCTAATATTCAAAACCACAGCATTCCCATCTGTGGTCATTAACAGAAGTACAATCCACAATAATTGTATCATTATGTGAGAGGCATTACCATTTCTAAGTAGAGTTTCCAAATTTAGCAGCGTTCACATGTTTTCATTCCCCCCCAAAATGTTGAATAAATAAATGCATAGGTTTGAAATAGAAAAGAGTGTGTAATCAAATAGTAAGTAATCTGGCCAGGCACAGTGGCTCATGCCTGTAGTCCCAGTACTTTGGGAGGCCAAGGCAGGCAGATCACCTGAGGTCAGGAGTTCAAGACCAGCCTAACATGATAAAACCCCATTTCTACTAAAAATACAAAAAAAAAAAAAAAATAGCCAGGCATGGTGATGTGTGCCTAAAATCCCAGCTACTCAGGAGGCTGAGGCAGGAGAATTGCTTGAATTTGGGAGGTGGAGGTTGCAGTGAGCTGAGATAGCGCCCTTGCACTACAGCATGGGAAACAAGAGTGAAACTCTGTCTCCAAAAAAAAAAGTAAGTAACCTTATCAGGCAGATATATTTTGTTTAGAAATCCTTATTTTGATTTCCTAAAACTCTAAGGCAAGTGATCAAAATATAAGAGATCTCATTTCAAAAAGCAAATCATGTGGGATGTGATTTGTCTCATGGCCTGAGAAACATGCAGCTCTGCTTTCTGTACAAAGTGGAAAGGGCAGAAAAGCAGCTGGTCCTTGCCCTCCCATTGGAATGGCAGGAATAGGATGGGGTGGGCAGTAGTCCATTTATGAACATTTGAATGCAATCAAATGAGATTTTTATTGAGCTTCTACTCTGTGTCAAGTACTGTGTTATCATTAGGTGGAATGTAAGATGATAGGTAAGATAAAATGTACCCTCAGAAAGTTAAATAAGTCTGTGAGTGTCAATATGAATTTTAATGACAATGAACACCTTCTGTTTGTAAATGTAGCCAGATAATATCTTGATATATTAACTGATACGTTTTCCCTTCTCAGTAATTCTTGTTACCTGTGAACTTTTTCCCATACAGGCTTTCTTGGCACACTGCCCCAGGAACAGGATTATGCTACAGAACACAAAAAGCAAATGACTGACTTTTGAATTCCAAAATCTAAAATCTTGGCAAAAACAGTATGTTTAGAAGGAAAGTTGATCTGGAAATGGTCAGCATTAGTTTTTCCTACCTCTATGACAAAATAAACCTAAGGGGAAAAACCTGTTGGTGGTAAAAAGTAGCAAAAGCAAAAGAATTAGAATCTTGAATGGGTCATGAAGCAGACACCTGTGGTCCATGCCCTCCGCCCTGACCCAAATGTTGCTGGTGCAGAGGAGAGAAAATAGACAGTCCAAAGGAAGTAGAGGAAATGAAAGGGAATCTGGCTGGCATCCACTCCTACCCTATACCGCCCACTGCTGCCTCCAGGCTCAGGGAAGTCTCCACAAACCCCACATATCCCAGGTTCTTAGGATCTTTCTCCAGCATATTATGAAGACAGCAGAGAATAATGTATGTCTGGGAAAGTGTATCTAGATGGAGAGGACCCAAAACAGCCTGAAAGTTCCCCAGCATATCCATGAAGTTCAGAACTAGATCAAAATTTTCCAAGTGCTCAAGAGAAATAGTCACGAGAACCCCAGATGGACCTCAGGCATTGCAGGATGATGCCCAATTCAGCCACTACCAGTGTGACTGGTGAGAAATCCTAAGGACTGATGTCTGTCCCCCAACTCTCTCCCCATCATATACTAATGCACCCTGAAAGTGCCCTAGATCTATACAAACACTCTATGTTCACAATCCCACATAGACAACTATCCATCCCAGAAGAGCTGCAACCAGGCTCCTCATAAACCCAGCTCCACCCATGCATCCATATTTAACCAGCTTCCTTCAGAAATATTCTTATAGATTTCCACTAATTTTCTATTCTTTAGGCACAACTGCTTTCTTTTTCCATTCTTAGGAAGTAAAGAAAAGGCCCAGACAACATAGTCTGTGTAACAATGTGTGGTGCATATGAAGAACAGAAAGAATAAAATTTCCAGTGAACCTAAGTTCCTGATCCATATAAGATCTCCCTTCTGACCTCTAGAACCTGAGCCATGAAATGGCAAAAAGTCCTCTAGATGGCCCATTTCCCCCAGGGGGTGCTTAGTGCCCTTTCCTTCTTGCAATGTCATTTCACTGTCTTCCCATTACAACATGAAACTCACTCCCATTAAAGTGACAGGACTCAATAGTTTGAGGCTTAACGCCGACTCCTCCTCTGTTCACACAGCTATCCAGTTGTTAAATCTACCTACTGGCTCTCTCCTTTCTATTACTGGAAGTGCTGCTCTCTGAATATTCCTTTTCCTCAATCCAGGGATGTGGCAGAACTGCACTTCCCCTCGTTCTTGAGGTTGATTGAGGCCAGTCACGTGGCTTCCTTTGGCAAGTGAAACGTGGGCAGGAGTAACATGGGCTGTTTCCTAACTGCAGAAAGCAACACTGCAGCACTCTGCTTCCTGCAGCTGGAACTGACAGCATTTCAGATGATGGAGGCCCTGTCACCCTGATTTCCAGAGTAAAGGGCATGTAATGGGCCCTTTCAGTCAGTGGGCAGATAAAATGAGCAAGCAATAAACATTTGTTAAATGAACTTGCTGGTTGTTACTGCATAATAATCTTACCCATCCTGACTAACGTGCCCAGGCTATTATTGTGGTTCAGGCTCTCTCTTCTCATCAATGGCTTTTAACACATGACACTCAAAGTGTGGTTCATACACAGGTATCAATCCATAAACTACTGCTGCACTGTAATGATGTAAGTATAGAAATTGAGAATAAACATTTAGAAATTATTGTAACAGTTAAACTAATTTGACATATTGAATCTAATAATAAAATATTTGGAATTGTCTTTCCCCCAGATCTTAACGTGATGTCTTATTTATTCATGAAGGTGCTACCAAAACGTTTGTCAAATTAAATCGCATTATTAAGTCATGATTAAGAAGTAGAATTATGGTAGAATTTCAAGGCCTTGCAGACAGATCTGAGGAATATTTGGGGTACAAGATCCTTCCTAATTGAGGTGAAATGATCATTTATAAATTTCCGTAGTTTCTCTTTGTGCCAGCACAAAATTTAGCGTCAGCAAGCAGAGAAACTTTCTGAGTTCTTCATTTACTATTAAACATTGTCTTAGGTTTGCCAACATAAAAGCAGGAACATGAATGTGTTTATCTTCTGGAATAAAACTCTGTAAATATATTGCTTATGAATATGTTCTTCAGAATGATTCACAAACAGCTTGACATTTTGATACATTTGTTCAAGTAATAGAGGATAATATAACTGATCCCCAAATCACTTCCTAACTCCCTCCAGGACTGAATAATTTCTTGCCTCTCAAAGACTCTGGCACACACTAATATATTTCTTTGCATCATACAAGAAAGAGGCAGCATAAACAATAGTGAAAACAACAGTGTGCCAGGTATCAGGAGACCTGGATCTAATCTGTATTATCCACTCCACTCACTTGCTACTACATGCAGCTATTACTTAACCACTGTGTCCTATTTCTCTCTTATGAGGATAAAAAGTTAATAACATGTAACATCAGCTCTGTTGTGAGCATCAAGATATACGGTTCTGAAGCACTTAGTGGTGAATAAAGTACAATATGATTATAATTTTGCATTTATGTATAATATTGTCCTTATAATGCTCTCAAATTATTTTGTATCTAGATTTTCTCCTTTCAAGGGAGACAGTAAGCTCCTTAGAGGTTCACTGTGCACTTTTTCTTTGTATCTGATCCAATGCTAAGCCCTTTGGGACAAATAATACACATATGATGATCATTTGAAAACTATTTATCATAAGTTGTTGAACCCATTCACCCTTAAGTAAACTACATAAACTTTATATGTCACAAGACAACTATTTCTCAGTTCACAATGAAAACAGGCTTTTAGAATTTTGGCTGTCTGAGTTCCTTGAGGGCAGAGGTCATGTCTCACCAAGCTTTGTATCCCTAGCATGTACCACAGTATCTGAGCACAGAGAAGGAGCCCAGTTTATATGGACTACATTATGTACCCCTCAAATTCATATATTGAAACCCTATCCCACAATGTGACTGGAATTGGAATAATGCCTTTAGGGAGGCAATTAAAGTTAAATGATATCATAAGGATGGGACCCTAATCTGATGGTGCTGGTGTCCTTATAGGAAAATAAAAAGATGCTGCCAGAGAGCATGTACTCTCATGTGCTGACTCTCTCTCTTTTTCAGTCTCGCCATGCCCCACAGAGAAAAGGCCATGTGGGGACCCAGCCAGAAGGCTGCCATCTGCAAGCCAGGAAAAGAGCCCTTGAGAGTCTGCTAGAACCTTAATTTGAAAGTTCCAGCCTCCAGAACAGTAAGAAGATATATTTCTGTTGTTTAAGCCACCAGGCCATGGTATTTTGTAATGGTTGCCCTAGCTAAGATACCAGTTAATGTCTGAAGATGAAGTGATAAATGAATAACCTTTAATAAAATACTTATTATTATTATTACCTCTACTTAGTACCCAGAAATCTAAAAGGCCAATCTCTGACTTTGCTTAAATTGGCTTTGGGAAAATTTTCAGACTCATTTAAACATTATAATAGCACACCCACCTACTAGACATTTGATTTTTCCATCCACTCTATTAGTGAGTACAAGCAGTTCTTATCCAAAGATCATTAAGAGGATTAGGCTGCAGGAATGGGGGTGTAAGGAACAGAACAGCTATTGGCCAGAAAGAAGGAAAAATTGTACTATTAATTGTTCAGAGGATAACACACGATTCTGCACATGTAAACACTCAAGGTGAAATGTGGCAGATGAAGAAAGAACTTCTGTGTAGAAGAACTATAAGTTTTGGCAGGAATCACCATGCTGCAGTACTGAAGAGGCCTCCTGCTAGGGGCTACAATGGAAAAAGCGACCTCAGAGAGGAATTCAGAACAGAAATGCTCAGAAAGAGATGAAACAGGAAGCTTTGGTTAAGTCATTTGGTTTCAGGCTTATAAAAGTAAAACATTATTACAGCAAAAAATAAAAATGCTGACTACATGAACTGTGTAGATTACTCTTCTATTCTAATTGTAAATTTGAATTCCAAAGTACTTCTTCCTTCATGTTCTTTGCAAGAGATCTTAGGTGTTTAGTAACATTCTTCTAAAGAGGCTCAGGCAAGAGAAGCAAATACTTAGTCTGCAGCCATAGGACCTAGCTTAGCATTCCACTGAGCTGCCCTAACACAGAGGGCACACCAATTAGGGACTCTAGAAAAGAATGGCAAAGGTGGCACCAGAGAGAAATCCTCACATGCAGTTTCCCTCTTTCATGCTCCCAGCTAAAGAGGGCACCCCTTTCACAGAAAAGTGAATACTGGCATACCTGGGAGATACTGAAGGTTCAGTTCCAGATCACTGCAATAAAGGAAATATCGCAACAAAGCAAGTCATCAATTTTTGGTTTCCTAGTGCATATAAAAGTTACATTTACACAACACTGTATTATATGGCATTATGTCTAAAAAACAATGCACATGACTTAATTTTAAAATACTTTATTGCAAAAAATGCTAATGATCATCTGAGGCTTCAGCAAGTTATAATCCTTTTGCTGGTGGAGGATCTTGCCTTGATGTTGATGGCTGCTAACTGATCAGGGTGGTAGTCACTGAAGGCTGTGGTGGCTGTGGCAATGTCTTAAAACAAGATCACAATGAAATTTGCCAAAATCATCGACTCTTCCTTTCACAAAAGATTCCTCTGTAGACCGTGATGCTTTTTGGTAGCATTTTATCCAAAGCAAAATGTTCACAATTGGAATCAATCTTCTCAAACCCTGCTGCTGCTTTATTAACTCAGTTTATGTAATTTTCTAAATCTTTTGTTGCCATTTAACAGTGTTCACAGCAACTGCACAAGGAGTAGATTCCATTTCAAGAAACCACTCTTTGCTCATCCATAACAAACAACTCATATGTTCATGTTGTCTTATGAGATTATAACAATTCAGTTACATCTCCATGTTTTATTTCCAATTCTAGTTCTTTTGCTATTTCTACCACATACACAGTTACTTCCTCCACTAAAGTCTTGAATACTCAAAGTCATCCATGAGGGCTGGAATCAACATCCTTCAAACATTTTTACCTGCTCACATGAATCAAAAATGTTCTTAATGGCATCTAGAATAGCAAATCCTTTCCAGAAGGTTGTCAGTGTATTTTGCCCAGATCCATTAGAGGAGTAACTATGGCAGCTACAGACTTACAAAATGTATTTCTTAAATAATAAGACTTCAAAATCAAATTAATCCTTGACTTATGGGCTATGGATGTATTCACAAGCATGAAAACAACAGTAATCTCCTTGTATACATCCATGAGGGCTCTTGGGTGACCAGGTGCATTGTCATTGAACAGTAATATTTTGAAAGGAAACGTTTTTTCTGAGCAATAGGTCTCAATAGTGGGCTTAAAATATTCAGTAAACCATGCTGTAAACAGATGTGCTTTCATCCAGGCATTGCTGTTCCCTTTATAGAGTACAGGTAGACTGGACTGAGCATAATCTTAATTTTAAAAGTGCTTGACTTTGGTATACAGGGAACAGGATTTTCAGAATGACAGCTGAACATTGGTTTTAATTTAGTCATCAGCTGCACTGCTCCCAGACAAGAGAATCAGCCTGTCCTCTGAAGCTTTGAGGCCAGGCATTGCTTCTTTCTAGCTATGAGAGTCCTAAATGGCATTTTCTTCCAATATAAGACCGTTCTGTCTAAATTTAAAGACTGTTAGTGAGTATGGCCACCTTCATCAATTACCTTAGCTAGATTTCTTGAGAATTTGCTGCAGCTTCTATATCAGGATTTGCTGTATCACTTTGTGCTTTTAAGTTATGCAGTTTCTTTCCTTAAACCTCATGAACCAAGCTCTGCTATCTTCAAACTTTTCTTCTGCAGTTTCCTCACTTCCCTCAGCCTTCACAGAATTGAGGAGAGGGTTAGGGCCTTGCTCTGGATTAGGTTTTGGCTTAAGGGAATGTTGTAGCTGCTTTGATCTTCTCTGCAGACCACTCAAACTTTCTCCACATCAACAATAAGGCTGTTTCACTTTCTTATTCACGTGTTCACCGAAGTAGCACTTTTCATTTCCTTCCATAACTTTTCCTTTGCATTCACAACTTGACTGCTTGGCACAAGAGGCCTAGTTTTTGGCCTATCTCAGCTTTTGACATGCCTTTCTCACTAAGTGTAATCATTCATAGTTTTTGATTTCAAATGAGAGATATAGTGCTCTACCTTTTACTTAAACACATAGCGGCCATTGTAGGGTTATTAATAGGCCTAATTTCTATATTGCTGTTTCTCAGGGAATGAGGGAGGCCAGAAGTAAGGAAGAGAAATGGCAGAAAGGGCAATCAGAACACATATAACATTTATCAACTAAGTTTGCTGTCTTATATAGGCACGATTTGCGGCATGCCAAAACAATTATACTAGTAACATCAAATATCCCTGATAAAAAGATCACCATATCAGATATGATAATAATAAAAAAGCTTAAAATATTGCAAGTTATCAAAATATGACAGGGATATGAAATGATCACATGCTGGAAAAATGGCATCAACAACCTTACTTGACGCAGGGTTGCCACAAACCTTCAATTTGTAAAACACACAATATCTGCGAAACAGAATAAAGAGAATTGCAATAAAATGAGGCATACCTGCACGTATCACAGAAGCAATTTATATCTTTCACCTCCAGCACTTAGCCAGTATAGTGAGTGTTCCAGAGCTGGGGTTTATTGCTATATGATGTGATCCTGAAATTCATTTAATAAATTAGGATTTTACAATGAAAAACTAAAATACATAATTTCATATAAGAAAAAAAAACACAAAATCTATATTTAAAAAAAAAACCCACCCTATCCACCCCTACCCTAAACAGACTTTTATTTCTAAAGAAAGATCTATATTTTAAGCAAAGCATGAATCAAGTCACATATTTAACGTCAGTATAATTGTAGAGTCAGAAAGAAAAAGAGCCAGAAAGAAAAAGGGGGTGTGGGTATGTAAAACTTATTTATATTTTTATTTAAGCGATTTCCCACAGATTGAAAATAAAATTTCAAGAGCCACTTCTCTACTTAATCTACTCCTAAAGTCTGAAAATGCTGTGGTTATCCAGCAGTGCCCTCTGGTGTCCAAATGAATTGTTTTAGTTGCCTTGAGGGAAAAGATAAGCCACTATATAATCAGGTATGTCTTTAATCAGCATTCATTCATTTGTCAAATATTAACTGACAGTTTACTATATGTGAGTTACTGTGAAAAGAGGCAGGATACAGAGATATATTTAAAAATACATGATTTCTTGTTCTGTCCTTAAGTAGTCCAGTCTAACAGGGAGACAAATGTAAACTCGATTACAAAATTACTTAAATCACTTTATCTAGTTTTTTTATTAAAATGAGATCTACACAGCTGGGTGGCCTCCCTTTCCAAACAGTTATGGACCATTATTCATGTTACGATTTATCTGGCTGCCTTTGGACAGAACAACTTTGGTCAAGTACACAGGGAACATTCTGAAATAGAGTAAACATCCCAAGACATATGTGGGATTGAATCCCAGTTTTTAAAGAGTTGAGAAATGCCTTTCACAGCCAATCCCAAAAGATACGTCTGGTTTTGCAGTTATATGGGAGCCCATTGGTCAACAGATCTGACACACAAATCTGATATTCATTAGCCTTATTCTTCTTTCTGAAAATTCTATTTTTCTAGCAAATAATGTAAAACCTCAAAATGAATCAAATGAGAGACTTAAGAAATCAAGAGACTTTAAGAATTTATTATAAACTGTTTTAGGATTATTAGACCTGCAAATTTTCCACTAGAGTCACCAAAATACACATTGTTGAATAGATACATCTTCATGTCTTCTGGAGAAGCAGACAGAGCCTGAAGGATTTATGGAGCCCTTCCACCAAGAATAAAAGTGAAATTCAAATACCATCCAAGGAAGGAGTCAGGAATTACTACAGATGATGAATGATGCTTTATACTATTTTGTGATATTCCTAATTTTCATCATTTTCCCATTCTTGTTATTGTTGTTTCCTAATCAGCCATGAAACCCCAGTGTGTAGGCAGGACCTATGACCTGCTTCCAACGGACAGAATATGGCAAAGGTGATGGGATGTATGTGATTATCTTATACAAGATTATAAGGTCCATCTTGCTGAGACTCTCCTTTGCTGGCTTGAGAAAGCAACCAGTTATACTGAAAAGGCCCATGTGGCAAAGAACTCAGGGTGGCCTCCTGCCAAGAGCACGTAAGCATTGAGCACTCTAAAGGAACTGAAGGCTACTAATAACCATGTGGTGAAAAAGCTGACCCTTCCCCAGTCAAGCCTCAGATGAGATGGCAGCCCTGAACAACACCTTGACTGTAGGCTTATAGAAGACCCAACTAATCTGTGCCTGGGTCCCTTACCCACAAAAACTATGAGATAATAAATGTGTGTTGTTTTAAGTTGCTACATTTGTGGTAATATTATCCTGTAATGATAACTAATATAGATTTCAAGACACTTTTTAATTGTAAAACATTTTTATTATAAAAGTAATACAAATAAAAACAAACACTGAGAAAAGACAAAGTCATCCATTTACTGCTTCCCATTCCACTATAACCAGTTAGTCATTTGTCATTTTTTTATCATATGCTTGATATGTTATTTCAGCCATGATAATACCCACTCATACACTTTTGCATCTTGCAATTTTTACTTAATGTAACATTTCTCAAGTTTTTAATAATATTCATTACTAATTTTCAATAAGCACATTATGCACCATTTGTACATATCTCTTTATTGACTATTTCCTAGACCCAGGGATGGCAAACTGTGGCACCACATTTGTAAATAAAGTTTTACTGGAAAAAAGTCATGCCCGTATTGTTTATGTGTTGTCTATGGCTGCTTTTGTGCTTCATACAGCAGTGTTGACAAGTTATGACAGAAACTGTAGATTTAAAAACCTAAAATATTTACTTTCTGGCCCTTTATAGAAGTTTGCCGATCTTTACCCCAAACTTTTAAGTGGTTTACAATTTGGGTTACTAAAAGTAATGTCACTTGGAACATCTTTGTGTATATAATTTTTCATACCTTGTACCATTTGAGAGATATTAACAAAAGTGGAATAACTGGGTCTAATTAATGAAGACATTTTTAAGGCTGATACTGTGCCACACTATCTTTCTTATAATATTTAAGCTATGATATCATAAGGATGGTGTTAATAAGAATGAAAAGGAAGGCCCACAACTCTTGTGGGTAGCATGTTTCTGGTCCCTGTTACTCAAGGCATGTATGTTTACACTCTAGATGAACATATTTTGAGTTTTGATTTAAAGTTAACCAAAAAAGAGAAATAACAGTAATTGCAACAGGAAGACCAATTGAAAGAAAGCTTTTACTTTCTACTGGAGAAGAAAAGGCAGACATAAATAGGTGACAAGGTATACATGAAATGCCATTCCAAGATAGCTGCAGTGGCCAAAACGCACTGAGAGAGTTGAGTAAGAGAAAGAGATGGCAGTCTCAACAATGAGCTAGCAGTGGCAGCAATAAAATGAAGAGGCAACTATGAGTGTGGGATGACAAAAGCAGCACACAGGTTCCACCCATCTGAACATAACCTGGACATAAACCTGTATACAACTGTAATGAAACTGTCTCTAGATAAGAGAGTTTTAAGACACCATCCTATATTTTTTAATAAAGACAAAGTCATCTACCTGGGGAAGTTTTATTCTTCAGAATGAAAATCTTATGGAATGGGGAAATCAACCCTCACTATCTGAGTCAACCCTGACTATTTCTGAGATAAAAGATGAAGCAGTCTGATGGGTCTCAAATCCAATCTTGTATGAATAAAACAAGCATCAGGAAACATAGATGTCATCTTCTAAGAGAAATATTCTGCCAAAAAAAAACACTCAGGATCAGGATGGACTTTTCTCCGATAATGTAATCCAAAAGCAAAATTAGAGATATTTAATGTAATTATCCAAATTATGCCAACAAAGTATGTCAAGAAATTACATATAGCACATTTATTTTATTAAAATATTCCTGTCAAAATGTCAACCAATTTAAGATCTCCTAAAGAAGTGCTTTTCAGTTACAACTATCATTAGCCTTTACATTCTACCTCACTCACGAAATAATTAAATGGATGATGACTTCATAAAATACTGTGGAAAACTATGAAATTCTCCATAGAGTAAGGAAATCATTTTTTTTTTGGCACAAATAACTAGGAACATGTTACTTTGAACAAAATATAACCAATTTTCTGAGGTATGAAAATCAAGAGCTTTTTCCTTGAATTTTCCCTATGGCAAAGGAAGTGGCTGCTCTATGAATGACTTGAGTCACATTTAAAAACATGTCATAATCTTCCTCTTTTTGTACTTCTTGCATACAGTTACCTCAAAACTGACCTGAGGGTCTGGCAGCATAAATCCATCCGTAAGTTTATAATAGACTATTGTAGAATCAGACTCCACTATGGCCAAAGTAAAAGACATCGGCAAATCTGGATCACCTTGCAATTTTCGAGATGCCTTCAAGATCTCCCTTATCCTGAAAATAAAGTCACAATATACTTAGGAGTTGCAGTCACTCAATTAATGATAAGATCAAATACTATAAAATCTTAGGGAAGACACTGGCAATACATTATATCCATAATGCTAAGAAATGTCTGAAGTCTCAAATATAAACATGTAAGATAATGTTTTCTCACAGAGTAAATCCTGCAAATTAGAGACCTTCGGCCCTTCTCAAAAACATTCACCAGTCTCTCCTGATCATCATACCTGAGAGAATCAAAACTGTATTTGGGAAACTACAGAACTGAATAGTTCTCATCTAAATTGTTTAGTGCATCTAAATTGGCTAAGGACCCTAGGCATAATTTCCCAATTTCCTAACTTGGTATCTTATAGCAGAACAATTTGGTATTAAAGTTTGCAATGTTCAAAAATAAACGTTTTCCCCACGTTTTTACATAGAGTTAATAATTACTACTTTTGAATGGTTATATAATATTTCCTTAACCCACAATTTTACTCAATCATTCCCCTATTGTTGTAAAGTTATTTCGGACTTTTGAGGGTAGGGAGACCAGGGGAGGGTGGTGCTAATTAAGATAAGCTGCAAGGATCATCTTTCTCCACACAGTTGTTTCTCTTTAAATACTCCTGTTAAGTCTTTCTGAATACCAGAATTATTAAATCTGAGAAGAGATAGTTTTAGGGTTCTTAGTAGGTATTCTGATACAATAAAAGCTAAGAGAAAAATATAAAGAGAAACAAAACTTTTCTTTAAAAAATTTTTTTTGGTAATGTTAAGATTTTTGTTTTGTTTGCTGTGGAAATCAGTCTACCGAATCTAGTATCTAGATATTTAAAGCACTATTGGCTTTTGTTTATCACTAACTAAAAATCCTTAATACCTACTCAATAAGCCTGTGTTCAACGATTCAGTAAAATGTAAATGTCCAAGGCACTTTTTAAAAAAGGCAAATAAAAAATGATCAGTTGTTTTTTTCATTAAGCCAACCAATTCTCCAGAAGCTGAAAAGATTTACTAGCATATTAACATCCTACAACTGAAAACATAAATAACTTAATATTGTGTTTTCTTATCAAAATGTAACTTGTCCCCTTAACTTCTACTTCTCAACATTAAGTAAAAATTCATATGATCATGCTTTCCCCAGCCTGTTATTCAATCTATAAAGAATCTAAAAAGGAAAGTCTCTGCTTTGAAATATTCTTACTACAATAATTATAATGCTTTTTAAAATCTGTCGGAGAGACTGGAGATTTTAAGCATGATTTAAAACAGCAATAAACTTCTAGAAAAGCTGAAACTAAACTGCTCTTGTTAAGATATCACAGTGCACAATATATTAACATTACAGAGTGATAATTGGTTTGTTTAAACATCAGTAACAAAACCCTGCCAACCTAATACCTATCATTTATGTTTATACATGAATATAATGATTCAAGAAGACAATGAGTTTCCAAGTTTCTTTCCTCATATTCAATCCAATTCTAAAATGCCTTTGAAAGAGTTAAGTCGACAACGTGGTAACACTCAGTTTCCAGCATAACTGTTGAGCAACGTTTACTGGGTCAACAAAATCTGTCTACCTGGAAAAATCTAAATTCTTTTCCAAGAGTTAGCAAAGGATCATTTCTCTCTTAAGTCTTACTACCTTCCCCATCCTCTAAGCAAAGTTACGTATCTTACTCTATATGGAGCACCTTGTGCAAACTTGTCTCACTGTAATCACTATGTTATATGTATACAGCTAAGGGGCTATTTCCACTGGAATGTAACTACTTTGAGGGCAGATTTTTAAAAGAATTTATTAATGCCCAATATGTAGTAGAGTACTTGGGCAGAATGAACAAGGTTTTCTTAATAAAGATTTCCATAGGGCTTTAAATGTAGACTTTAAAATATGTTTCTGGTAAATTGTTTTCTAAAATGTATTACACAACTCTGTTACACTAAATAAAAATTCAACTTGTCTTGACAGCTTAGGATCATCATTTCCAGTATTATTGTAGATACAATGGTAGACGATATGGCACTCGGGACCAAAGTAGACCCTAGAACCTAGTTTTTTAAAAGTATCTGATATTTGCCTGCTTTTCATTCATCTGTTGTTATCGCTTGTTTCTATAGTAAGACTTGGTAAACTACAGTCACCTATTTTTTTATAGTTCATGAGGCAAAAGTGGTCTTGACATTTTTAAATGGCACATTTTTAATGGTCATATAAATACCTACATATAGCTTCAATTTTGTCCCTTGGTCCAAAAAGCCTAAAATATTTACTATCTAGCCCTTTAAAAAAAGGTTTACTAACTCCTACTCTGAAAAAGGTAAGAAGTGTAAAATATATTCATCAGAGAGTGTCCTTTCTTCCCCTAAATTATTGATTCAAAATTCAAAGCAGGAAGAAGTTCCACTCCTAGTTAGGATGGAGATCTCAAAAAACCACCACTCCGACCAAAACAAGCAGAACACAACTGATTAACTTAGAGATACCACATTTTTCTTTAAAGCCAAGAAGGAGATATAAACACAGAGAAATTTAAATGAACTAAATTCCAATGAGAAATGAGCCCTTCCAAGGTGAGCAGAGACCAACAGACACCCACTTCCACCCTGAGGATAACTACTAAGTATGGACACAAGTGGAGGAGTGAGCCGTAACAAGCAAGCAACTTCACAAAGAGGAACCAGTGATAGAAGGAGAAACAGCCAAGCATGGAGCTGGCACAGTGGACTCGAATCCTGAAGGACACCAATCTCTCCAGTTCACCAATTCTCCCCATGGGACTTTAGCTATGTTTACGCAACAGCATGAAAAACTGGGAGAAATGCTGAAAAACGGCAAG